TTCTAAGCAGTAATTCTCCCTACTGAGTTTCGTTAATTTTCTTGCACCGACACCGGTGAATAGTTTTTAGTATACACTAAAACAGTGAGATAATTCTGCGAAAAAAGACGATTTTAACTCATTGATTCCTGCAACTGTTAAAATATTATCGGGCGCAAGTCCCGCAAGCGTTGCTCGGAGGTGAATATGAGCGCGGGTTATAAAACAAGCTGTTATAAATCATTTACTTTGAGGAAATAGTTTTTCCAAATTTTTGTGATACACAAGGATAAGATTGTGAGGTCGATTTTTATCACGTGATAGTAAATAAGGGCAGAGCCCACTTCCGCCTATTTCCTTTTATTATCTGTCGCCCAATGGATAGCGAGTAGCGTAGCCAATCAGATTTTTGCTCCTGTGATAGAACAGCCAGTGGATTCATGCTAACTTACTAATAGAGTCCATATTGCTGTGCGTATGTTCAAAAATTCAGTAGAACTCCGCTAACTCGAACTCTCACCGGGGAAACGAAAAATGGTTCGAGTTAGTGCGGTATTTGAGTTTTCGACTGAGATTGCCGGTTGAATTTCAATTATCCCTTTGATAATTAATAAGGAATCATGTTCAAGTTTTACCATCCCTGCGCAATTGTTAGTCCTTTTCGTACATTTAATTTGTTTATAACAGCTTTTTGATAAGGACGTTTAGTTTGGGAAGGTTAGCCAAATGTGTTACGTTTCCCACACATGTTCTCACGTTCGTGTGATTAAAGATTGAGACGTGTCAATTAGCTATCTTTGACGTTTATCGACCGCCGAATTCTCAGGGTAAAGTTAACCGAGTTCGTGTCAGCTGATCGTAAATGACTGAGGAATTGGGATCAAATCCAAGGAAACCGGATCTTGTTCGAGTTTGCGGGGTTCTACCGTAGATCACAGATGACGTCAAAAGGTGGTAGAACAAAAAGGTGACATTGCTGTTCTTACCTGATTTTGACGTCTTATGTGAATGTACAGACCTAAGGCAACATGGAATCTACTTGTTTTATTTGATAAAAAGGCGAAATGTTATTAATGACGACGTCAACTATTTGTCTGTTCTTCAGTAGATCATGAGTAAAAAACCAATGAAAATGCGTGTATAATCCAGCTTATCATAAAACAGTCAATACTATAAATCTACTAGCATTCTATCACAAATGCTGTAATCTCATTGGTTTCGCTACTCGCCATCTATTCCGTGATTGATAGTGATTAAAGTGAGGAGTGAGAGGCGATGTGCGGTAGCAAACTTTTTTTCATCACTTAGGGGAGAACTCTAGTCTGATGTTTTTCTAAGATTTTCTTAACATGTTTATTTAATATCCTTTTGTAACTACTTACAGGTGAATTTTAATGAGTAGTAATGAGGTTGTTCACACAATATTTTTTTATACTCTAGGAAAAATATCCGGGATTGTTTTCTCGTGCCCGTGGTGTAGGAACATTCTGTGCAATCGATTGCGCCGATGCAGATACTAGAGCAGAATTTCTTTCAAAGATGAAAGCCAATGGTTTGTATCCAAGTCACGGAAGGGGGCGGCTTGAAAAGGGTTCTATGGGTGCGTTTGACTTTCCCGCCCTCCCTCACTCCCTCTTTTTCGAAGAAAGCTACCTGGTAACCCACTAAATTTGACAAAAACGTTATATTAGGACCCCTCTACTAAGAAATCCTGCTGACACATTCGTGACGAAATACTCTCAAAAATAAAAAAATTAATTGAAAGTTCGATACAAGGGTAAAATTGGACGTGGATTGTTGAAATTGGACGTGGATTGTTGAAATTGGACGTGGATTGTTGAAATTTCTCATGACCTACAGCTGTGTACCTTTGTTGATGGAGTTTCTAGTGATATTATGTCCCATTATCATCTTCAATCAAAGGGAATTTCTCGCAAGTAAAGATAAACTTACATTATCCACATAGACGCGGACGCTTCCTCGAGATAGCTTTACATTTGGACAGCGGGTAGATTAGCATATTTGGTTTGAACTTGAAAATGATCAACTTAATTTACATTTGAACGAAATTCGTTAGAAGTGTGCTGCACCAGATCCAACCTGTCCTGGAGCTTGGGCACTTTAAAATTATTGAGTTTCTGAGGCTGTTGTCCTGATAGTTAAGACTGTTAAAATTTTTGTTAAGTAGGAAAGTTTCATATTTCTTTGTATTTGATTGTCTTTATTCACAGAGAAACTGCAATCAGAATTTAACTATTGTTTCGTTTTTCCTTTCCGTCAGGTGTGGAGATGGGAGGTGGGAGTGGGGAAGTAAGCATCCGCTTCAGACCAACATTGACTTTTTCACAACGTCACGCAGATATTCTGTTTGAAGCAATGGACAAAGTGGCTTCCCAAATGCGATGATGTTGGATGTCGTTTACTCTCGAGTGAACCATACTTCTCTTTGAAATTTGTTTCAAGTGCAGTGATTTTTTTGAAGGAAAACTGTCAACGAACAAAGTTATTTTGATTTCCGGCATTTTTTAAATCTAAATTATGTTATGTCGCAATGACATTGTACTGATGCTATATAGAAGTAAGGTTAAAAATTCTATTCCATACCGCACTCTGTTAAATGGAGGTGAAAACTATGATTTCGTGGCCCTTTTGTGTTATGTTAGGAGGTTACAGACTTGGAAGGTTCAGGAATACACCCCAGTGGCTACCTAAATCTAAGTGCACAACTCAGATTACCATTCGCAAATTTCTGACGTGTTTATTGGCTTTGTAGTAAGTTTTGCGACGTCGTCCTAAAGTCTTAAGGGATTTTCGTTATCAGAAGGACAAGCATGAATTAAGTGACTTTGAATTGCTCAAGCAGTAGTTTAGAAGTGGAGAATGTTCAGCTCTTGGACTGTTTAAACAATGCAACTGAACTCTCATTTGATTAAATAGGGTAAGTTTGTAAAGAAACTGTGGTGCTGCGTCGGTGGGAGAGTAAAACAGGGTAATTTAGTATTATCAACTGAGTTGATAGCATAATCGGCCATCGTGAAGAGCTTAAAAGCTGACGTTTCGAGCGTTAGTCCTTCGTTAGAGCGATTGGAGGAATTGTGAGTTGTGTGTGGGTCTATATGCAGAAAATCGAGCTATGCTGTTCATGGAATGTGATGACATTCCAAAAATAAAACAAAAATAAACTACGTGACTGAAAGTGATCCTCGCAGTAATTTGCACTACTTGAGCAGTAGTGAAAATAAGGCCTGAAAAAAATTGAGGCCCCCGTGTGGGACTTGAACCCATGACCTCTGCGATACCGGTGCAGCGCTCTACCAACTGAGCTAACAAGCCACCTTGGAGCTCGTCGTTATATTGGTTCCAAATAAACCCGTGAAGTGACGAATAAACGGCTAAGAATATATGAAAGTCATATATTTGAACTGCGGATAAAGACGTGAATGAAAGTGATCCTCGCAGTAATATGCACTACTTGAACAGTAGTGAAAAGACGTGAATATTCAAGTCCCGTACGGGCCTGAATTTTTTTCAGGCCTTATTTTCACTACTGCTCAAGAAGTAGGGATTGGGAGCGAGTGCATTTGAAATTTCTAGGTTGGTCATTGGTTTGAAATAACTTCTGACCAAAAGGTTACCAATATTTTGTTACTTTTGAATGAAATTAGAGGAGGTTGCGAAGTGATAGTATTGAATTGTTTAGAAGTAATTTAAAGTTTTTAAGAATGATAGATTTAACTGCGGGGTTGTGAGGGTCAAATGTGGGAGTGAAAGGAATGCAATCAGTATTTTCCTTCTCGGGCGTTTGTGGTGCTGACTGTCGATCAGTTTGTTGGTAGTGGCCCGCTTGAACGACAGAAATAGGGAAGCCACGTTCATCGAAAAACTGGCTCATTGCCTCTGGCGGACTTTTCCGAAAAATCAGAGTCGTCACTACGTTAACGACGAAGTCTGAGAAACTGTGAGAAAGGTACGGAATTCTTAACGTGTGATGGGTGCGAAGATGAATACAACAAATAGCTGTGTGAATCTGTAGGTTTGTAGTAAACATTAGGGCATAGACCGTTGTCTTCAAGCGAAATCTTGACGTCTAGAAAAGCTAAAGAAATGTCGGAAATTCCCAGGTATATTTTAGAGCCGGGTGAAAGGAACTGACGGCGGTTATAATTTAAGTAAGCTCTTCTCTGGTAGAGGAGATAGTAGCGATGCAGTCGTCAATGCAGCAACCGCAGAGTTCAGGTTTGCGGCTGTTGTAAAGAATGGAGAATTGGTGTTCGATAAACCCAACAAAAAGATTGGCGTAGCTGGGTCTCATGTTAGTACCCATGGCTACGTCATTAATTTGTTTGTAGTAGGTGACACCGAATGAAAAGCGACTGAGAGATAGTACTGGCTCGGCTTGACAGAGTAGTGTTTCAGAGCTAGGTTCCTTAACAGTGCGTTTATCGAAAAAATGTTTGAGGGTCCGGAGACCTTTATCATTGAGAATGACAGTATAAAGAGAAGTGATATCCATGGTGAAAAGAAGTTTGTTTTGGCTTTTCGTTCAGTCATGATTGTGGTGCAAGACAATTCTCAAACAGAGAATTCAGTTGTGTGTGGTACTCAGTTTATAGACCAATCATAGAACATGGTAAGGCAAAATAGATGTACACTTTTAGGTGTATGTTAGTCTTCATTTACTGAACATTCTTCCATTAGTTTCAAACACCAGGAATCTCAACTGAAATCAATCCTTAGAACAACACAGCAGATTTTTAGGGGAAAACCGTACCTGCTCAATTATACATTCATGGCGTTACATTCATACAAAACTGTTGATCAGTTTACCCCCAGTAATTAGCACATTTTTTTAAATCCATTAGAAATAACTTCCCATGTATATTGACATGATAGCTTAAATACTTCATTACATCAGCAGAGCCTTTGTCAAAATAAAACAAAAAAAAGAGCCACTTAAATTGAACCCTCCCCTCCTCATAATTTTCATTTACCCCTCCACCACTATTTAATAGACAATGAAATGACAAGAAATGACTCAAGTTTATTTACTGAGCAGCATACATAAAACTTGATTTACCAATCAAACTGAGAGCCTATAAAACACCAAACAACTCAAATTAAAACAAATGAGAAGCAATAGAGGTGGGAAGCCTCCAATGTAATTTCACAAAGCACATAGTCATCCGATCTCCTCTCCATTTGGTAGAATACTGTAATATAGAAATTATCATTAAAAAAGTGGTTTACTTTAAGTTGCTTCAGACACAACAATGAACAAAACAACAGACAATTCACAGGAAAAGCAGTCAGTTTCAGTAGACAGTGAAATCCATTTACATCTGAGTGCTGGGCTTGGCTGAGTACCTTGCTCGTGTTAATGTATATCTAGTGCCTTGGATATGAACTCTACGGCATCTTCTACAGTGAAAACCTTTTCAGCCTCTTCATCAGAAATTTCAATACCTAAAGAGAATAATGCAAAAAATTAATTGCTCAATTTAAGTACTCAGTAGTCAGACTAAAATCATCTTCTGGTGAATCAGTCAAACACTGCCATAATCAGAATCTTACACAATGATCACTAGTTAACATTTTTCACAGAAGCAATTTTCTCACAAACTGTCTAAAGTGAACTTGTGTGGTCAAGAGGTCAAAAACTATCAAGCTATGTCAACTTTTTACTTTAATAACAGCAAAAGTAGCTTGTCCACATCCTAGGATTTCACACTGTACCCACAACACATTTTTGTTTTCTTAATTACAGATCATACAAAACTACTTAAAGGGGTTTCTTAGCTCAGTGATGCACAATGAAACCAATTTCTACTACTGTTGAACACTAGCCTGACAGCAGTTCCTCATTATTAGTGCTGCATGATGCACATCTCTTCCCCAGCTGGAAGATTTGAGACAAGTTTAGGAGAGGTTTAGAAGGGGTCTGGCTCCAATAATGAAAGCCTGCAAGGATACTAGGGCTCTTTTCATGCTATATTTGTTATTAAAGCAAAATTTCTCACCAAATTCATCTTCCAGTGCCATGACAATCTCCACTACATCCAAACTGTCCAAACCAAGATCGTTGACAAAGTGACTCTTACTCGAAACCTGTACCAAAGAAAACGGCAAAAAAATAGAGTTAAAAAAGGAAGTAAGATTTTTTTTCCTTTCAAAGTGTTGCCCACATAATAGAACTAAGGATGACCACATGTCAAGCTATGTCAACACCCATACCACTGGAAATACCAACCACCAACAGAAACACAGAGGCATTCTGTGGAGGCCCAGGAGACTCTCAGCAGAAACAAATTTTGTCTGTGACAGGCCTCTGTTCAATTTGCTAGCCAGCAATTTAGATTTCAATTTTTTCTTTCCCTTTTTTTTTTTTTTTTTTTTTTTTTTTTTTTTTTTTGTTTTTTGTTATTCTAACTCAAAAGTGGCTTAAGCAAGCAATGACAGAATACATTAAAGGTTGCTGGTTGGGTGTGAGCAGCAAAAATTGCTCCCACAACAATTCTTAAATAAATTTAGTAAATTTTTTTGCCATTCCGGTATATTTCACTTACAGCCAGGCTCCTTTTTCACTATTACCTTGACCCTCTTCACCTTCTTATCTCTCCCCATACACTACCTAGTTTTGAGCACAGACAGGTGACGAAGATCACCATATGCAATCAGGAGATGCTAACGCAATTGAAATTCAAGAACTACAAACAAGATTTTTTGTCATGAAAACATAATTGCTGTGGCATTTATGGTGGCATATTATACTTGGCTAGTCATTCTTTAGCATGCTAAACAATTCAATTTGTCGATAAAATGAGTTCCTTTCAATATTTCACAACAATTTTTCTTGGAAAATGTCATTAACATTTCAATGCTCAGTTTGACATGTCAAATATTTTTGAAAATTTAGCCCTTGAGGGTCCACCATATCTGAAAGGGTTAAAACTGGTAAGTAAATAACATTACCATCTTTTAATCCAATAATCAGGAAATGGACTAAAGGTACGCGCTTCCAAATCAATTTTCAAGTTGCTCTTGGCGAAAATACTTCTGTAAGATCAAACCGACATAATTTCAATAAAATGCAAAATATTCACCTTTTCAGGATTCACTTTGTCAAAAAGTTTTAAAACATCCATCGCCCGTGTCTGAATTTCGTCTCTTGTCAATGCCGTTCCTGCGTCAGCGAACATGCGAACACCCACAAGAGCAGGTCGCATTTTTTCAAAGGAGTTACTCCCAGGAAATGTACTCTGCAGGTGTTTGTTAGAAGCAAAGATTACTCGTGGTAAAGAGCAAACAAGGCGTGTGTGCCGTCCCCTTGACAAAGAGTGACAAAAGAGACCTCTACCAAGACGTCGACACATGTTGGTCGCCATTTTCAGTTCTACGACAACTACCTTGATGAATTGTGGGAATATCAATCGACATTAGTTAGGTAGGTACGTCATGTATGGGTAATTACTATGTCCACAATACATCAGTACTTTACATAAATATAATGTCCTATACTTTACATATAATATCCCACACTTATTATATACTCAACAAAATATCGCGTTTCTGATTGGTCAATGATGAATGCATAAATAGGTTATAAAGTGCAATAGAGGTTATAGAGTGCAATACGGAGAAGTTGCCATGGAAACACCGGGGAAGCGCCAAATTTGAACACCAAATTATAAAAAAATGGCTGACAGCCGGTTTGCTTTGTCGAGAATATAATAAATAAAAAATCGTATGAACCTGCTCGTGCATTTCGTGATTTATGGTCACTCGTGATGTTTTGAAAGTTCTCAAATTGCACTCGCCACGGCTCGTGCAATTTTGAGAACTTTCAAAACATCACTCGTGCCCATAAATCACGAAATGCACTCGCGTTCATACGATTTCCTATACACATACAGCCATACACAGCTATACAGCGCAATACAGAGCTATAAACAGCGATACAGGGCTATAAACAGCTATATACAGCTATACACAGCTAAACAGAGCTGTAGCAGGTAATTTAGTGTTAACAACTAGGTTGAAAACGTAAATTAGCCACCGTAAAGGGTAAAAAAGCTGAAGTTTCGAGCGTTAGCCCTTCGTCGGAGCGATTAGAGGAATTGTGGGTTGTGTGTGGATTTATATGTAGAAAGTGGAGCTACGCCATTGGTGGGAATATGGTGACGAGAAAACAGGAATAATGGCGTGGCGTGGCGTGGCGTGGCGTGGCGTGGCGTGGCGTGGCGTGGCGTGGCGTGGCGTGGCGTGGCGTGGCGTGGCGTGGCGTGGCGTGGCGTGGCGTGGCGTGGCGTGGCGTGGCGTGGCGTGGCGTGGCGTGGCGTGGCCATGGGTACTAAAATGGGACCCAGCTACGCCAATCTTTTTGTAGGTTTTATCGAACATCAATTTTTTAGCCAATACCACGGCCCAAAACCTCAACTCTACGGCCGCTACATTGACGATTGCATCGGCGCTACCTCTACCAAAGAGGAGCTCACTCAATTTATAACCGCCGTCAATTCCTTTCATTCGGCTCTTAAATATACCTGGGAAATTTCCGACACTTCTTTGACTTTTCTAGACATCAAAATTTCAATTGAAGGCAACGGCTTATGTACTAGTGTTTACTACAAACCTACAGATTCACATAGTTACTTGTTGTATTTATCCTCACATCCATCACTGTGCCAGTTTTTCGATAAACGCGGCTATCCCGTTTCTGTCGTTCAAGCGGGCTACCACCGTGCCCAACAAATCGATCGACAGGCAGTACTACAAACGGCCGAGAAGGAGAACACTGACAGCATTCCATTTACTCTTACATTTCACCCTCACAACCACGCAGTTAAATCTATCATTCTTAAAAATTTTAAATTACTCCAAAACGATTCAGAGACTGGCACTATCTTTTCGCAACCCCCACTTATTTCATTCAAACGTGACAAAAAAATAGGCAACTTTTTAGTCAGGAGTTCATTTCAAACCAATGACCAATCTGGAACTTTTAAATGCGCTCGCTCACGATGCAAAACTTGTCCTTTCATTCATAACGAAGAGAAAATATCGGGACCCAAAAGATCCAATAAGATCATTGATCACTTTACGTGTACCTCCGCCAATGTTATTTACTGCATAACTTGCACTTATTGCAATAAGTTATACATCGGCGAAACAGGAAGACGACTGGGTGACCGATTCCGAGAACACCTTCGCGATGTGGAAAGAAATGACAAGGACGCATCCAAACCAGTCGCTAGACACTTTAATCTTCCTAATCATTCTAAACAGCATATGGCAGTTTGCGGCCTTTCCTTACATCTAGGCAGTTCGGAAAGCCGTAAAACACTAGAACAAAAATTTATATTCCAAATCGGCACCCTTAATCCCCACAGAATCAACGAGCGCTTTTCATTCAACTTCATTTATTCTTGTTTTCTCGTCACCATATTCCCACCAATGGCGTAGCTCCACTTTCTACATATAAATCCACACACAACCCACAGTTCCTCTAATCGCTCCGACGAAGGGCTAACGCTCGAAACGTCAGCTTTTTTACCCTTTACGGTGCTAATTTACGTTTTCAACCCAGTTGTTAACACTAAATTACCTGCTATACTCTCCCACCGACGCAGCACCACAGTTTCTTTAGAACCTTACCCCTTTAAACAGAGCTATGGACAGCTATACAGGGCCGTATAAGGCAATACACAGCTATAAAGACCAATACAGAGCTATACACAACTATACAAAGCTGTAAACAGCTATAAAGAAATATAAACAGTTATACAAGGCTATAAAGGGCTATAAAAAACTATACAGAGCTATACACAGCCACACAGAGATATACACAGCTATACAGGGCAATAAACAGCTATACACAGCTAAACACAGCTATACAAGGCTGTACACACCTATACAAGGCTATACACAGCTATACAGGCCTATACACAGCAATACAAAGCTATACACAGATAAACAGAGCTCTACACACCTATACAGGGCTATCTATAGCTATACAGGGCTATACAAAGCTATACAGGGCTATATACGGCTAAACAGAGCTATATACACCTATATAGAACTATACATAGCTATACAGGGCTAAACATAGCTATAAAGGGCTAAACATAGCTATACAGAGCTATACGCAGCTAAACAGAGCTATGCACATCTACACAGAGATATATGCAGCTATAAACGGCTATACACAGCTAAACAGAACTTTACACAGTTATACAGAGATATACACAGCTATACAGGGCAATACGTAGCTATACAAGGTTATACACAGCTAGACAGAGCTGAACCCAGTTATACAAGGCTATACACAGCTATACAGGGCTAAACCCAGCTATGCACGGCTTTACAGGGCTATACATTGATATACAGGGTTATACACAGCTATAAAGGTCTATACACAGCTATACACGGCTGTACAGGGAGGGCTACACACAGCAATACAGAGCTATACACAGATAAACAGAGGTATACACACTTATACAGGGTTATACAGGGCTATACACAGCCATACCCAGCTAGAGAGAGTTATACATACCTGTGCAAGGCTATTCACACCTATACAGAGCTATGTACAACTATAAAGAGATATACACAGCTATACATGGCTATACAGGGCTATACACAGCTATACAGAGCTAAGCACAGCTATACAAGGCTATGCACAGCTATACAGTGCTATACCCAGCTATACATGGCTGTACAGGGCAATACACAGCTATACAGGGCAATACACAGCTATACAGGGCTATACACAGCTAGACAGAGCTAAACACAGCTATACGGGGCTATACCCAGCTATGCACAGCTTTACAGGGCTATACATAGATATACAGGGTCATACACAGCTATAAAAGGCTATACACAGTTATACACGGCTGCACAGGGATATAGACAGCTATACAGGGCTTTACACAGCAATACAGAGCTATACACAGATAAACAGAGGTATACACACATATACAGGACTATATGCAGCTATACACAGTTATATGCAGCTAAACAGAGCTATACACACCTGTGCAGGGTTATACACACCTATACAGAGCTATGCACAACTATAAAGAGATATACACAGCTATACACGGCTATACAGGGCTATACACAGCTATACAGAGCTAAGCACAGCTATACAAGGCTATGCACAGCTATACAGGGCTATACCCAGCTATACATAGCTGAACAGGACAATACACAGCTATACAGGGCAATACACAGCTATACAGGGTTATACACAGCTAGACAGAGCTAAACACAGCTATACAAGGCTATACACAGCTATACGGGGCTCTACCCAGCTATACACGGCTTTACAGGGCTATACATAGCTATATAGCTATACAAGGTTATACACAGCAATACAGGACTATTCACAGATAAACAGAGCTATACACATATATAAAGGGCTATACATAGCTATACAGAGCTATACGCAACTAAACAGAGCTCAACACACCTATACAGGGCTATACATAGCTATACAGGGCTATACACAGCTATACAATACAATACAGTAACTTTATTTGAAATGCAAAATAGTGGATCAGATAGACTAAAAAGACTATCTGGTATTAACCCATGTGTATATATGTGGTATAAAATCTGTATGTAATAAAATAATAATAAATACATAAAAAAGGACTAAAAATATCATGATACAAAATAGTAAAAATAAGAAATTATAAGAATAAATAAATTATAACATAGCCCTTAAAGTATATATAACATGTTTGTTATGAACATTGTATTAATGAAAAAAAATAATAATAATTCAACTAGTCAGTTAAGCCAAAGAGCATTTATGTTGATCGTGATCCTCTTGTAATAAAGATTCAAAGAGTTTACTTTTAAAGGCGCTGAGATTTGTTATAGTTCTGATATCCCTAGGTAGAGAGTTCCAGTCTCTTACAGCAGCGAATTCAAAGTTTTTTCACCAAAACCCGACTTAGCATTAGGAACATTCAGTAAAGAGTCATCTCTTAAAGAGCGAGAGCGAATACTAGATCGTTTTATAAGTTTGTCTTCAAGTTGCTTTGGAAAGTTAATATCATTCACTATTTTAAATGTAGTTATAAATCGCAACAAACGTCTACGGTTGAATAGAGTCAAGATCTTTACTTGGCTATGCAGAGCTATACGCAGCTAAACAGAGGTATATACATCTGTGCAGGACTATACACATTTGATTCCCTTCGTGGCCAATGGCGTAGCCGGCCGATGGGCCCGTAGGCCTACGTTCTACATTCCGAGCCGCCATTTCCTACGGGGAACGGATAAACCACCTACGCGTTACATTGGGTTCGTTAAAATTTTTGTCTTGAAAATAATGAAACTAGAAGTGGATCTTACAACATCGTGCAACATTTTACAAAACAACAAAAAC